CCAGGTGTATAGTTGATTTTAAAATAAGAGAAAAAAAAAACTTTTTTAACATTAAACAAACTTGTATAAATGCAGTTACATACTAATTATATGTATTATTGTAAGAAAAAAGAAAACGGATACTTTGAACATAAATAATGAAAAAGAAAGTCACAACTACAGACACGTTACATTAACTGTATAATCAGTAATGTTTTGTTATAATGATTTCTGTAATACTTATGGAACACTCATCTTAAACTGACTTTACTTACTTAGCCCAACGTGTCTCCGGACACTTTGGGCCATCCACAGAGATACTTTCTTTCATCCAGCACCATCTTTTTCATTTCTTCCCAGTGATAGTTCTTTTGCTGATGTTTTTCTCAATACATTTTTTCTCCATGTGAGATTTGGTCGACCCCTCTTTCTACTTCCACTTTCAACCTTCCAATTCATCACTTGCTTCACAATTCTTGTGTCATCCATCCATCTCAATCTTCTTTGTTTGCTAAATCCACCAGGTCACATTCTTCTATGCACTTCAGCACCTCAACATTTGATACTTTATCCTTCCATGACAATATTAATATTCGATGCACGCTGCTCATATGGAATGCATTTAACTATTTTTCGTTTTTCTGTGCATCTGCCATGTTTCACAACTATAAAGCAGGACAGGCACAATATGACAATTATGGAGTCTAACTCTCATTTTGATGTTCAGACTTTTATTGTTTAGCAGTTTTCTGAGTTATCCAAATGCGGCATTAGCTTTACCAATTCTGGTGACCATCTCTAACTCCATCTCTCTGTATTTTTATAGTTTCTACTCTCCTCATTACATGGTCAATTACCATAATAAACAAGAATGGTGATAATATACACCAGAGTTGATTTTAAAACTGCCTGCTAATCCACCTGAGAGTTTCACCCAACAATCTGTTTCCTGAAAGAGTGCTTTCATAACATTTATCACTTAACAATCCTCTTTTTCCAGTTTATATTGTCGAATGCCTTTTAAAAATCTATGTAGACATGTTTCTGAAATTCGACAGATTTCTCAATAATTCTAAGAAGTGTGAAAAAAGCATCTTGATATGATCTACCAGTCCTGAATATCAGTTTTCAATCTGTAATAGATTTATTTGTTCTAGTATGACAGAACTAAGAATTTACTTGGTAATGATAACAGTCTAATCTCTCTCCAATTTAAACAATTACTTAGATCGTCCTTCTTGGACAGAAGCACAACAAGACCCATATCTCATAATATCTTGTATCAAATAGGTTCTCTTGTTACCCTTTGTGAGATTTCACAATATTCTGTATTAAATAGGGCCCCTTCTTACCCTATGTGAAATAGGTGTCATTGTAAATAATGTCCCTGTTACTATATGAATTTTTTTTTATGAGACCCTGTGTAATCAAGACCATTGAATCAAGTTTCCCTATCTTTATAAATCTTAAAATACATTTACTTGTTCTTAATAAAACAAATGTTTGTATACACATTTTATTCCAACCAAAGCATTACACTATTCTTACATATAAACAATTAAAATTGGCTTACCTTGAAACCCTACATGCCATATTTTGAATCTATGCGATACATAATACTACTCTGTTACAAATAATAAAAACTTTAAGAGTAATGACATTTTTACTTAGGCTTTCTAGAAACAATGAGGTTTCACTTTCTGAAATCTGAAGAATAAATCACTATTTAAACAATTATATTTCATATGACAATTCTTGTATTTATTAGACAGACATTAAATTAGTAAGTAACTGGCAATAGAAAACAAAATACACTAAAAAGCTTAAAAATCAACATACATTTATATTTTTCTAGTTGCATTTCTAACAGTGAAAAGGGAAAGAGAAAATAATTTAATCCTATATTTTGAGTTTCTTAAAGTAGTCATACATAACAACATCAAATGTACATATTACAAATTAATACTTCCTCTAAATTATTTAACACTTGAGCCAATAAATCTATTTCTCATTTAAAAATATATATAATAGCACTATAATATTGAAACTTTAAAGCCCTTTTTTTATCTTTATAATACAATGAAGCTAGCAAATTTTATAAAAATATCCATAAGCTCTAACTAAAACATGTTATGAAGACTTGAGTTTGTCTGTAACTTGGTAAACTAAGAACTGTAATTAGTTTAAAACATTTCATCCACATATTATCTAACTGTTTGGAATAAGCACTGATTTAACACTGTGTAACACCTATCACACCTGATGTGTTTATGATACAGTATATCTACATACTGAGCATGAACTGTAACCAAACAGAATAACCACTGATTTCACACTGCATCACACCTGGTGTGTTATGATACTGTACATCCACATACTGAGTATGAATTGTAACCAAACAGAATAACCACTGATTTCACACTGCATCACACCTGGTGTGTTATGATACTGTACATCCACATAATGAGTATGAATTGTAACCAAACAGAATAACCACTGATTTCACACTGCATCGTACCTGGATGTTACATGTGTTACTTTATGAGATGCACCACCATATTAACTGCATGTTGCACTAGTCTTATATTAAATAACCTCATTAATGTTTTTCCAAAGTAAAGTATAATCATCAGATATCACAGTTGTTCACCTAAAATTATATAGGTCAAACTACAAAATTAAATACAAAGCAGCCCCCTAACTGAGGTCAGGAATGGATTAAACCTCTAACTTATCAAACATCTTCAACTTTTAAATGGGTGAGATTCATCATATTTATATAAATATAAACCTGTTTTAAACACAAAAAATATCAAATTTATCTTTAATATTAATAAGATTCTATTAAGTCATCAAATTAATTATTTCTTATAATTCCCAACATATATATATTAAGACTTAGTTTAACTAATAAAAAAAAAGTCCTGAGGGTAATATACAAATATAATCAATAGTCTTACCTAATTTTAAAAAGATAATACAAAAATATTTCCAAGTTACATTTGATAATTAATCATTGCACTCATGAAAATTAAAAAGCCAACTAACTTGAAAAAAAAATGTAGCAAGTAATAAGTGGTCATAACCACTTTCTTACGTAGGCAGCATGAAGCATAAAAATATTATCCAAAACTGGATCAATACCGGCAACCTGAACTACATAGGGTTCTCTACAGCATAACTGAAAACTTCATTATCTAATTAACGAAAAAATACATAAAACTTGGTATATCGTGTTTATTCTCAAAAACGTTCTTCTGTTTCGTATGTCAGCATAAATACATTTAGTAAACCTTATAACTTTTCCTTTTAATTCTGTTTAGTAACCAAGAAATGTTAGAAATTCATTTCATTAGAAGAACTGACTTGTGTGATACCATGAATGGTTATATTTTAATCTTCAACTCTGCCATTAATGCATAATTTGAAAAATGAACATCTTTTATTTCTGGATGGATTAATTGATTGTTTTGGTATTTGTGTGAAGCTACACAAGGGCTCTCTGCACAAGCTGTCCCTACTTTTGAGCTGATACACTGGAGGTAAGGCAGCTAGTCAACAACACCCAACACTAACTCTTGAGCTATTCTAATAATAATAATATAAAAAAAAAAAGATTTGACTGTTACTCTTATGATGCACTCATGGCCACAAAGTGCAGAGCACCATTTATGTATTCTATTTTTGTGGCAAACAGTGGACCCTCAGACTTACAGTCTGACAAGCTAACCACTAAGCTGTACTTAGCCTTTCTGTATGGAAAATTACAAAACAGAATACAATAAATAAACATTTGAGAACATTTTCAATAAAGCTTAAAAATCAAATTAATCACTAAAGAAAGCAGTAAAAGAATAATTTTGCTTCATTCTAAAAAAATCAAACCAGAGTACATTCTGTAAAACTCCAATTTTTCAACTCAAAGTTTTTAAGTCCTTAAAATGAAAGAAAACCTACATGATAAATATAAATCACTTCTAAAAAACCTCTGAGATCCTGGCACTTTTGACAGGTGTCTATGTCTTCTTCAGCTGCTACAGAAGATAAAGTCCATCTGTTGAAAGCATGAGGATTTCACAGGTTTTTTTCCATTGTGATTTATCAAATTTTTCTGAAACTCTTAGTTATTCTTAAACAGTTGACTCCTCTGTAAAGGCTGAAATAAAACTTTGATCACTTTAACTCTGTGCCTTTTTCAATCAGTTGTAAAGCTCTAGCACAAGTAAGATAATTATTGACAAATATAAAAAAGTCAAATTATTCCTAATGGATCAATGGCACAGAGCATTATCTCTATCATCTATTTCAACACCTACAGAATCCTCTCATCAGCTGAGTGTGTGTTCAAATTTTGGAAGACATTCTACGATGAATTACACTTCAGTGCAGGGGATTTCCAACTTCAGAAATTCCATATAATTATTTTCTAAAACTTCTGGATGTCAATAAAAAAATATTGAAACAAAAACATCAGAAATAGTTGTTTTTGCTGCAGAAGAATGTATAAATTACAAGATGCACAAAGACATGCATCACAAATGTTTCACTCCAGTACAGTTGATTCCCTCATTGCTCTTACCCATCTGTTCAAAAACAAAAAATCAACAAGAATCAAACAAATGGATCAAATGCAAAAAACTAGTTCATATGCAAACAGCACCCTCTTCAGAAAAAATGTACCCATTAACCACTAACCAGATACAAGTGCCAAAAATTCAATTTCATTACTCGTATTTAACTACTTGAATAGCATCTCTGTTATTAAAGATCTTGCACTACGTGTATTTAACTACTTGAATAGCATCTCTGTTATTAAAGATCTTGCACTACGTGTATTTAACTACTTGAATAGCAACTCTGTTATTAAAGATCTTGCACTACGTGTATTTAACTACTTGAATAGCAACTCTGTTATTAAAGATCTTGCACTACGTGTATTTAACTACTTGAATAGCATCTCTGTTATTAAAGATCTTGCACTACGTGTATTTAACTACTTGAATAGCAACTCTGTTATTAAAGTCTTGCACTACGTGTATTTAACTACTTGAATAGCAACTCTGTTATTAAAGATCTTGCCAGTTTTCCTTTGGATATACTTGAGCTTGGATTTCAACAGATGTATTATTTATGTAGAAGGTCAAGATACTTCATTATCTCTGCCTATAGTGACCACACTTAATAGTCCAGTAGACAATTTGTCTACCAGAATGTTTGAGCCAAACTTTTCATACCACCTATGCTTATTGTATGTCATAAAAAAAAATTTAATATTTATGTACAACACTCGAGAAAAAAACATTTTCTTCATAAGCTACACAAAGAGGATATTTATCAAAAAAATAATATGAGATTTGAAAAGTTAATTTACTGGCTGAATGTTTTAGTTTTGAGCACACAGTACTCTGTAGTGCTTATTTGTTTCAATTACAAGTAGATATTTCTTTATACAAACAGTCATGTTGAAAATGACAAATGAACTTTATTATACACTTTCTGGTAATTCTTTCCCAGTTAATTCTTAGTGCTTAGTAATTCCTTCTTTAATCATCTTAATATTGTTTGTTGGAGTGCATATAAGTTTGCCTTGTTCATAAACTGAAGGTACATTGTAGAAAGGTTACTTTATGTAACATTTTTAAATTCTGCATTGAAGAGGAGAGGTTTACTGTCAACTGAAATCTAAATATTAAAGAAAATGTCCAAAAGATTTAAATCAAAATAGATATTTACAAAGTAATGGAATGAAAAATTACAAAATGTCAATTTATTTAATATTTAGAGAATCATTACAAAACTTTAAGAGAAAGTCACCTTTCTGCTGAGCTGGAGGTATCAGCATGAAACATAATTGGAGGTTGACCCGGGTGAGTCAGTTGGAACAATAAAATGCTGTCAACGCCATCTGTTGGCTACACAAATAAACATCTGAATGGGTCTTTTAATTCAACTGTTTTAAAACGCAGGGTTCTTACATGTAATCAAAGACTTTATAAGTAATATAAAACTACCAACTAAATCATTGCATCATAATGCACAAGTTTAAATACTTTTTTCTTGTTTGTTTAAACACTTCAGTAAATTTTATTGCCATATTCTAAGTCACTTCTTAAGAATAATCACAGAATGTATAATGTTTATCTTGTTTTAATGGAAACTTATTTTACAATGTATAATGTTTATCTTGTTTTAATGGAAACTTATTTTACAATGTATAATGTTTATCTTGTTTTAATGGTAAATTATTTTACAATGTATAATGTTTATCTTGTTTTAATGGAAACTTATTTTACAATGTATAATGTTTATCTTGTTTTAATAATAAATTATTTTACAATGTATAATGTTTATATTGTCTTAATAGAAACATTTTACAATGTTAGATGTTTATTTTGTTTTAAAAACAACTTATTTTACAATGTATAATGTTTATCTTGTTTTAATGGAAACTTATTTTACAATAATATAATGTTTATATTGTCTTAATAGAAACATATTTTACAATGTATAATCTTTATCTTGTTTTAATAGAAACATATTTTACTATGTATAATGCTTATCTTGTTTTAAAAACAACTTATTTTACAATGTATAATGTTTATCTTGTTTTAAAGACAACTTATTTTACAATGTACAATGTTTATCCTGTTTTAAGGGCAACTTATTTTGTAATGTATAATGTTTATCTTGTTTTAATGGAAACCTATTTTACAATATATAATGTTTATCTTGTTTTAATGGAAACTTATTTTACAATATATAATGTTTATCTTGTTTTAAAGACAACTTATTTTACAATGTATAATGTTTATCTTGTTTTAAGGGCAACTTATTTTATAATGTATATCTTGTTTTAATGGAAACTTATTTTACAATATATAATGTTTATCTTGTTTTAATAGAAACATATTTTACAATGTATAATGTTTATCTTGTTTTAATAGAAACATATTTTACAATGTATAATGTTTATCTTGTTTTAATAGAAACATATTTTACAATGTATAATGTTTATCTTGTTTTAAGGGCAACTTATTTTATAATGTATAATGTTTATCTTGTTTTAATGGAAACTTATTTTACAATATATAATGTTTATCTTGTTTTAATAGAAACATATTTTACAATGTATAATGTTTATCTTGTTTTAACCCGATGACTACCGGTACTAACTTTCTTAGCAGGCAATGCAAGTGTGCATTTGTGAATTGAAAAAATGATAGAGAACTTATCTTTTAATGGATTTCTGATTTTATTTTTATAAATAGTAGCATAACATTCAATTATTTATACAAATTTGTATTCTTTAATGAAGTTTAAAGAGGAATTCAATGAAAAAATTTTTAATATACGTTTTAGACTGTAAACAAGCGCCCTCTAAGAAGAAATGTTTTTTTCAAAAAATTTGTTAAGATATTTCCTTTCACCTCAGCACTGGTTCTGCCACCTATGATTGGTATCTAAACTTTTTTCTAGTGTGTTCTAGTGTCTGGGTGTGTTAAACCTCAGTTGTAAAACTTTTAGCCAATCCTTGTCGAAAGTGTCAATTTCCATACCAATTATTCCAATTGCTGTATCTCCCATTTGACAAATCATAGGATGATAAGGAAAGCACGTGATGAAACGTTGTTCTCTGGATTTTACAATATGAATGTGGGTGGTGCTTATTATAGTAACTGCCACTTTATGTAGAGGTTGTATTTAGTACTGGCCAATAGGGCTTTTCAATAAGCGTTAGAAAAGTTGCTTCTGGAAAAAAAACTGCATGGGATATACGCGACTTTTATTTTTCTTATATAGTAGGATTAATATAAACAGATATACCATGCAGCATGACTTAAGTTAATTTTTCAATATAATCTCAAAATAGATACATTTTTAGGAAAGAAGTTGGTCCACGATAGTTAGGGTTAAGATTTATCGAGTAGGGAGTGCAAAGTCTTTACATGAATTAGACTTAGGACTTTGAACTG